GCCCTCACCAGCAGTATTTGGAGTGTCCTTATTTCTACTAACAGTCTTTGCAAAGCAAACTGCACTGCTTCTATTATGCTCTTCAAAATTCTAACAGCCTCTAACAGTTCACTCCCTGATTCCAAAAACCCCTTCTACTTTTGGGGGTATCTTTCATGTTAACTCTTTCAGTACCAAAATCCGTATTAGTTTTCTATTGCTACAAAATAAATGATCACAAACAAAGGAGTTTAAAACAACACCCACTTATTATTTCACAATTTCTGCACATCAGGAGTCCAGGCGGGCTCAAGTGGGTTTATGTTTTCAAGGCTGAAATCAAGATGTCGACTGACTGTGTTTTCATGAGGAACTCAAGGTCCTCTTCCAGGCTCATTCTTGTTATTGGTGGAATTTCGTTCTCTGCAGTCATAGGAACTAAGATCCCCATTTCATTGTTGGCATTTAGTCTGGGGTCACGCTCAGCTCTTTGTGGCCACTCTCCAACCGTTGCAAAGGCTCTCTCCATCTTCCAAGTCAGCAATGGTGCATCAAATCCTTCAACTGGAGTTTTTTATTTCAATTTAGTGTACAATTTGTGGACTTTGATTCTGATATAACCTCCCTACAATGAACTTTTCAAGAATTGTTTCTGCCTGGATCTGAGAGCATACATTGATTAAGATATTTTCCTCTCTCCAGACTCTGGGTTTTGTTATCAAATGGCAGCACCTTGTTCCTCTCAAATTTCAGGAACCCTATGAGGGCTTCCTTTATGCGGCCTGTGTACATATTTGAAAGTCTTGCTTTTATCTTATCAAGGACAGATTATAGACTGAAATGCCAGGCACCTACTTATATGACATTTCTATCTTCTCTGAAAGCAAATAATAAATGTATATAAGCAAATACGAGTAATAAAATAAAATAGTCTTCATTAATTTTAATTGGAATTTAGCCAAATTAAGCTACCATTTGAAATGTGACCAAATATCATAATATAATATTATATTAAAGATAAATATTTTGAGAAGGTATTACAGATGTCAGTTATTAAGTGTGAAATTATTTTGAAAATGTTCATGTTGATGTACATTTCAATACACATTAGTTAATTTACTCATTTATTTATTAATAATGAACCAAACTAAGCAAAAACTCTACTTGACTTTCCTATTTGAAGGAAGAATTCCTTCAACCACCAATGACTAAAAAAGGCAAAAATTTGTTTTTAACCTCTTTAAAAGAATTTAATCAAAGATTGAGTGATAGGCTAGTTAAAACCAGAACTTTCTTATAGAACTAGAAAAGAGAATTTGTCAAAGTCAAAAAAAATATCAATGTTCAACTATGACATTCAAATTTCCTGAACCTTAACTCTTTAAGGTTCCATTATGTTGAATAAAAGCATAAATTTTGATAAACACAGAATACTGAGAAAAGTATCAGTGTAAATGGATGTATGTACATATGTTTGGACTGTTTTCCTATTTATTCATGTTAAGTAGCTCATTGAATTTAAGAGAAGCTGTTTCGTAATCTGGAGTTTTGTGACATAGAAGGGCATTATTCCTTTATAATAACACAGACGGTATATGCCTGCATTTTTTTATTTTTCTGGTGGAAAGTTTAAATTATGTGTCAAATCCTAAAAGGTTTCCATTTGTGGTACTTCAAAAACATGACCGTAATATTTTGCACTCATTCCATCAAAAGGTGGAGTTTATTTTGTCCCTTGAGTCTGGCCCGTCCTAGTGAACTGCTTTGACCTACAAACTTGGCAGAAGTAACACTGGGTGAATTCCAGAACAAGGCCTCAAGAGGCTTTCAGATTCTGCTTGGGCGCTCCTGGAGTTCTGAGACCACCTTGCTGTGAAGAAGCCATGGGGAGAAGACACATACACCTCCCTCTCTGCAGCCACCCTTTCTCCCCCAGTGAAGCCAGCTGAATGCAAGTGCATGAGGGAGCCCAGGGGAGACCATCTGGGCCGCCCAGTCAATCCCCACATTGTGAGAAATAATGTCCGTTTTGTTTTAAGCCACTAAGCTTTAGGTTATGATATATGATGTAGCAGCAGATAACTGGCACACCAAAAGCCTTATTCCCCGCAAGAGGTTGATTTAGAGGTAAAAACAAAACAAGTTTAACTTCCAATACTACCGAGCCTTTTTGGCAAATATGCTAGAAGACTTTTGTCAACATTTTAATGATGTTTTCTTCTACTACTAAGTCAAAATGTGGTAATATTGATTTTCAAAATAATTTGATCACAACAGTTCGGACTTTTAAAAATATTTTTAAATTAATTTTTATTAAACATTTAATTAATTTTACTAAAGATTTTGTTCTGTTTGTATAAAGTCAAAATGTCCAGATCATTTTATCAACACAAGTCATATTCCATTTCTTCAGATTAGGCAGCCACTTTAAAATATAGTATATTTACTCCACTCTATTACTGTCTGAAAGGTAGAAGGGGGAGGCCTGATGGCACTGCAGAGCTGGTTAGGCCACGCCATCCGGGCTTTTTATTACATAAGAGAAACAAGCCCTTATGTATCAGACCATTGGAAGTGAGTTTCGTTCAAGGTGCTCAAGCATGATCTGTAACTGCATCCACTACCTGGAGACACTCCGCTCTGTGAAGTGCAACCCGGTCCATTTGATTGGTGCCACATGTGGTTGTGCAGTGCACAGCCTACGAAGCTGTATGTGGTGGCTCCGGCCAAAACCATACTTTCCTAAAGCATGAACCTCCTAGTTTTGCCATGGTGCCACCTTACAGCCAAGGAATTAGTGGGGCGGGGAGCCATAAATATGAAATGTAATATAAACTTTAAATAAAAAAGTCTAAATGAGTCTGAAGATTAATTACAATTTAGCTATCCCTTATGTTATTTAAAACAGCATTCATGATGGTTAGTTAGCATTAAAAAAAAGTCCCACTTCTCGATTGGGCAGAAATGATTTTGATTATATTGGCAAATAGTTTTAATGGAAATAATATGATGTAAATATTTCTCATTTATTTTTTTTTCTCTAAACATAATTTAACAACCATGAACCAGAGGGAGTCCATGACTTATAACGCTGCATGCAAACTAGCTGTATAAACAATTGACGTGGTAATGAAGTGCGTCAGTGAACGTAAATAAAAACTGTAGATTTTTAAAATCAATTTTCATCACTCTAATTCTAGAGAATTCTGCCTTTTTTTTTTTTTTTTTGCTTGTGTTTTGGAAAACAACCTCAGAATTCACAGTAAATGAATTACGGTTAAATATTCAGATCAACAGACAATGGATGGGGAGGAAAGAGAATGGAAAAATAAGCACGCCCCGTTTTTTTTCTAAATATGACAGCTATACTTTGAAATTCCTAAAACCAGATGGAAAATAAAAGCTTAATATTTGGGAAATAAACACATGCAAATGAATGAAGAGTTGGAGATAGAGCGCATGGTTTTAGCAAAATAACATAGTACGTTTTCTACTCTATCAGTAGACGGTAAGTACATTTACTTTCCCCGCAGAAATCTGAGATCTAAACAACCCAGGTCCACGCGACGCAGACCGGCCCGTCTAATCCCGGTGCCGCTGGGTCCGGCGGGGCGCTCATCTCAGTCCCCTTCTGACCGCGACCTTGGCCTTCCGCCCCACAGCGGCCTCCGGAGGCACCACACCGTCCAGGGGGCATCACCCCGTCCAGAGGGCATCACCCCGTCCAGGGGGCATCACCCCGTCCAGAGGGCACCACACCGTCCAGGGGGCATCACCCCGTCCAGAGGGCATCACCCCGTCCAGGGGGCATCACCCCGTCCAGAGGGCATCACCCCGTCCAGAGGGCATCACCCCGTCCAGGGGGCATCACACCGTCCAGGGGGCACCACCCCGTCCAGAGGGGATCACCCCGTCCAGGGGGCACCACCCCGTCCAGAGGGGATCACCCCGTCCAGGGGGCACCACCCCGTCCAGAGGGGATCACCCCGTCCAGGGGGCATCACCCCGTCCAGAGGGGATCACCCCGTCCAGGGGGCAGGGGCTCAGCCCGGGACCGCCTTCCACCTCCATCAGTGAGGCCACGCGCTGGTCCCGAGGCGGCGGTCGCGCCGCGGCAGGCCCTGCTCTTTCTATTCGTACACTTTCCAGTCTTTCCCTTTCTTCTCTTAGTTCCAGGCTAAGAAAGTAAGAGAACCACCGGAATAGAATGGATGGAAAGGCAACCCGACGACTGAAGAGGACGACGAATCTGGAGCGGCCCTTTGGGACCGGCGGCTGAGACGGGCAACCCCCAGCCCCGCGGCCCGTTCTCCGGGCGGACATGGCCCCCAAAGCCAGCCAGTCCCTGGGGCCTGGAAGACAAAGGAAGGCGAGGGCCGAGCGGGGACGGGAGGGTGGGAGCAGCGACTCGCGTGAGCGCGGGGACGTGAGAGCGCAGCCCCCGCCCCCTTCCCCGCCCGGTCCCCGCGAAAGGCGGGGCCTCCAGGCCCCCCCAGGAGGAGCGCTTCCCGCAGCGCGCGCCGAGGGTCCCCGGCGGCCACCCGCGTCCGGGCAAGGGCGGTCCAGGCCGCACGGTGGGGGAGG